CGTCCGTAACTTTTATAGCACTGAAGCAAGGGTCCTGCTCTGCAGAGTGACCATCCGTCCAATTTTAGAGTACTGCCCGCTTGTCTTAAATGGCGTTCGTATAAGCGACGGAGGAAAACCGGAAGAAGCACAACGCCACCTTAAACTAAGAACACTAGGAACTGACTGCAGCCTAGACTACATCTCCGGATGCAACATGCTAGGACTGTAACCTCTATGGAAGAGGCGGCTTAGGAGGAATCTTACATTTTACCATGAATCACTTCGCAAGCGAGTGCATTCATGCGGCCCGGAAATTAAAATAGTTGTAACATCTACTCACTATTTACGCAATCACAAGCAAAAATGGCAGCGTCTTTAAATCAAATTAGACTTGGCAATATACTGGGCAACAGCGTCAGCAGACTGCCGGAAACAGCATTCCTGAGTCTATTCCTACCCGCCAAATACTCACCATTCAACTTGACTCAAACGCCCGTTCATATACGTTCTATGCACATGGAATGACGTAAAAGATCCCAGGAATGGATCCGTACACCTAAGTGAATATAAGCTAAAACCCAGTTGGCAAGGGGAGAGACAGCAGCCGCCAGGAACTCTGGTGTCAGTGGTTATCACATAGGCACAGCCTAATGGGTCACATGCACCTAGGGCCGAAGTTCCAGCCTCAAGTGTTACCAGTTCTGCGAGGACTGGCAACCCTGGACTGAGCCACCTAGGTGCCCTCCCCATACAATTACGTACCCACTCGTCTCGTTCAACCAGGCACGGAGTAACATGTATGTACGGTAACATTAACGGTAACTTCGACGCAACGTGCATCTTCTTCGGAGTGGAAAAGAGGCGCACCAGCTTCTTCAGTCAAGAGCTGAAGATTGCTATTTGGACTGTTGGTCCCTCAGAGAAAGCGGATGGTGTCACACAATAGGGGTCTGACGGACCACGTCTCTGGACTACGTTCTGACTAACGATGACCTCATAGGGGACACATGTGTTCACCCCCCTCCCGATATCAGTGGTCATGCGCAATGGTTTCCTCCATGACTGCCAAGGAAGAGGTGCAATGAGAGATGCCCAACACCTTCCCTTGCCACGGCAGGGCCAACTATGAGACAATGACAGGTAGTCTCGTGAATGTGCCATGGTCTATAGACTGGATTCGTCTCACAACGGGCGAACACTAGATACAGGTGAGGGAAACAATCGTTGGGGCCATCAGTCACGGCGCGTGGGGGGGGTAGCTCACTGACCGTCGGTGTGAACTTCATGGCTAAAGCACGGGACAGGCGGCCTCCTTTAGACAAAAAAGCAGGCCTACTTTAAGTGGCACTTATCATGCAGGGAGTCCAGCTTCTTGAACTACGAGAGAATTCGCAACCGCTGAGACATTAGGGGCAGTAGTGACAGGCTTAGGTATCGAAAAAATCTGGTGAGAAGGTTACGAAGCAACCCCTGAAACCTGTACCGCTTCAGGTAGAGAAGGAGGCCGATCAGCTTAGGAGTAAATCTCATCTCAAGTAGGGGATGTATTAAGCAGTGTAGAGATAGTTGAGCTTCTGAGTCCACATTTCAAACCGCAACCTGCTACTTCTGACGCTGAGTCTGCACCTATTCTGTACGAAACTGTTCAGACTACGAATAACAAATACACCTGCTACATCCCCACCACACGGTAAAGAGTATCGGCGAAACTATCTAGGATCTGTCGAGGCAAGCTTTTTGGCCGCGACAACCTGAGACAGATTGTTCGAAGAAACTGAGCCGGGGCACTTGCGTAAGCCATCTACAAACTCTTCAAGCACCCGCTAGAGTCATGAAAACTCCCTAAAGAATGGAGGTGCTTGATTCTGCCGATCGTCTTCAAGGGAGGGGAAGGAAAACATCCTGACAGTTACACACCGATCGCCCTACTCCCTATACTGTCCGAAGTATTAGAAAGCCCTGTAGCCGACGAGATCTGGGAATCCCTCGAAAGGTAAGACGCAGTTCATACGGCGAAGTAAGGCGTTTGAAGTGGTCGTTCATCGTGGTGACTGTCTGATGTAACTGGACTGTTAACTGAGACTACAAAATTAGTAAGTGTTATTTTATCGACCTGGCTGAGGCATTCGGCAGTGTCCTACCTCCAATCCTACCTCAAAAGGTCGTGTCAGCCGGCAGTGAATATACTAACGATGTACTCTTTAATAAGCTACAATCAATTGGTGCTCGCGACCGTTTACCTAGATTAAATCATTTCCGAGTGATCCTGCCCAAATCGTCCCCAAATACACTTTTCGAATGTTGCTACCTAGACCGATACGAAGGATGCCTAAAGTCTATGCATGAATACTGCCACTTGGACCATTAACCGTTTCAACGTCTACTTCCATCCAATACAACAGGTATTCCCAGTGGAATTAAACGTAGCATAGTGGACTGGAAATGTATTGATTTAGACACTCATCACGGTTATATAACTGTGGATACGTTACTGACAATCCAGATTGTATAAATTGGTCGTTTGCGGTTGGCAAAACTAAATGCTGAAGAACATTCCAGCGAATGGAGGCTTACATTGCTAAATAACAAACTATGCAGATGGACTAACAACATCGGCTGGTTATAATGCGAACTTCGGACATTGCACGCTTTTGTTATTGATAGTGGAACCTATCTGTGTGATGAAAGATGGAAATCCATGCTCTTCTCATGATTTGAGGCACGTTTTAAAATGGTTGTGCATACCAATGATTTAGTGTGTGAGTTATATAATTCCAAATACTATTCTTTGAACTTTAAAAAACTCTCAGATTGACGATGCTTGTAAACTGGTATCTATGATGTTAAATCCATTATATAGAAATGGGAATTTTTATTATCTTCACTTTGAGACTCTGCATATGCTGAAAAGTGGTATTTTCTTTGTCTCGTAACCGCGGTCTGATGTTTTTGATAGAGTTAAACGGCCTCTCCTCTGTGCTGTCCAGGACAGGTAAAATGTTGTAGATTTTTTGGCATGTATCAGTGTGATGATACCTGTAAACTGGCTTCTCTGACGTCAAATTACTAATGTGGGAATAAATATTCATGTGTTTATCTACTCATTTATAAGCGAACCTCTGCTCTCTTGGTTCAATTCGTACCTGGGTGGCAGGCAGTTCTGCACTAAGGTAAACAGACTGCGGTTGGAGTGGAGACCGTTGACATCAGTGGTAAGCCAATGAGCATTTCTAAGACCACCCTTGTTCCTCTTGTTCTTCATTGATATGTCACACAAAATTCACTCATCAGTCCTCCTCTTCGCTGTTGGCATAGAGATGGGGAGTGAAGTTAGCAAAGAGGCTAATTGTACAGCACTTAAAATGATCTGCAGCTACGAGAACTCTGGTTTTTGAAGGATAAGTTTACCTGCAACCTGTGACAGTGCAAAGTAATGCACACCAGTATTCACGGGGAAACGGCGGCAGAAGTTTTGAAACAAGTTCAGCTACCATGCTATCACCAGAATGTTCACAGAAAAAGATTAAGGGGTCGACTTTTCAGGCACCCTGAACACCATTTCCAACCACAAAGACATGACAGCCAGACCGAATGCCACTTTGTACTCTCTCCATGGACAGCTTTGTGCTGTCACTCCTGAACTATTTCTCACAGCTTTCGGACCCTATGTACGCTGAACCTAGGGGGGCCTTCAATGCGCTAGCACCCCTGACACTAGAGACGAACTTGAACCTTGCTGAAAAAATACAGGGATCGGCGACAAAGTTGGCAGTGCGACTAAAGGGGAATGCATACTCTGAAAGACTGAAGTAACTTTATCTGTTCACCTCGGGCCTTCGCGGAAAGAGGGATAAACATCTCATAGCCCACAAGGTCATCCATCAGACAGATCATGCAAACAAACTAACCCTACCAGTAACACGTATGTCATCAGGAGGAAGCCCCACCAAAATAGCACATCAGAGAGCTAACACCAGAGTAATATCTAACATCTTCTCCTTAAGAGCACTTGCTTTATGGAATGTCCGACTGCGGGACGCAGCACAATCCGCTCGACAGACTTGTTCAAAAGACAGTCGCGTCATTTGGCATGGTTTACCACAGACGTACTAAGGGAGTTAGTGACCTCACCGGGCCACCACCACTTCCCCCCTCCTCGCCACTCACCACCTCCCTTGTTGGTTCACCTATATTATCTACTAACTCTTCTCTGGCAGCTTGGCTCATGCTATCTACCTTTGCCTTTCGGGCGATTCCCATATACATCTTCTTACTATCTTGCCATTCCTATTCAGGAGCCTATGCAGATAGGAGTCACGACAGACCCACAATCGTCCCAGCGACCCGTCGCTTCCTAATTGCTCTACAAATTTCGCTTTGTCAACCCCGAAAAAGTTCTCCTCCATGGAGCCAAAAGCAAAGGAGAAGAAGAGATCTCCTTGTCCACTGCAGGAACAAACCTGACAGTATGAACCAAGCACTATGAGCTAGACGCGAGAGATCGTAAACTGCCAGTTTTTAACTCTTGCAAGGTCGATGTTGGATGCTGAAAATCATACAACACCTACAAATTTGACCAGTAACGCACCTCCCATGGTGTATTCCAGAACTATGACAGGCGAGTGGGCAGATCTACCACACCGGAATACACCAAAGACCTGGACATATTGTGCAAAACCAAGGATTGAGGGCGAAGAAGTCAAATTGTTTATAAAAGCTTGTAGAAAGATTCTGAATATTGGAACGCTGAACAGAAATTGCAGAGCCACAAAACGTGGATGCAAGCGTAAAAGACTGGCATTTTATCATATGCACTGGATTGGCTACGAATACTGCTATAGTTTGACGTGATTAAGTGTATACTAGCTAGCAGAAAAACGGTTGATAGTGGATATTGGATTTGAATTTGTCCAATTTGTTTTAGCTGGTTGTCATAGATTCATACACTCCAGCAAATATTTAATATGATTTCTGAAATTTCGAAAGTGGCTAAACCAATATGTATTCCTCCTGAATACATGCATTATGCGGAGAAGCACTCAATTTATGAACTTGTTCAAGTAATCATTTCTAAGCTTATACTGTAGAGACTACTGAAACTCTTGATAATAGACCGTCCTGTAGATCCTATATCATACCTCATTGAATACTTGGAAAAGGATATTGGAGATGGTAATTAGATTGATGTTTTAAAGTGATTTAAGTTCCTTCTATCTTCATATTTGGGCCAAAATTCGTTGGTAAAAGCAGACTGGCTGCCATGCTAAAGGAGAAACTGCAGTGTGTTGCACTGAACCGAGAGGAGATATACAGCCTATGTTCAGATAGAAAAGTTAGTTACGATTTAGTCCTCAAAAAGTTATTTTGTTACAAATTGTCCAACGCACAGATAAATGAGTCCCAAATTATCCTCACTAAATTTGATTCGTTACTAATTTGATTAACTAGTTCTGTGATTTACTCAAAGTTCAGAGTGAGTCGAAGAACTACATGATAAATAATCATTGGTTTGTCAAGTTACTTTGAGGGGAAATCACTCAAGGGAAAGTTTCTTCATCTTGGTGCCACTGTGGATGCTTATAAAGAAATGAAAGCTTGTGGACAGTCTTGCCGACAGGTTCAAAAGACTGCGAAGAACGGAGTGCAATGGAGGCATGCTACTGAAGCTCTATGCCGCACGAGGAACCGAAGGGAAAAAAGTAATAATGATAATCATCCACTGGTACTGTGATCTCGAGACCAGTTTCAGGAGACAGTCTCGAAACCTTTTGTGAAAAGTATTATAAAAAAATGTACATATCACATATGTTTCACATGAAAGCAAACTGCATCCTTAGGATCATTTTAGTCTTTTTCTTCAGTAATAAGGCCACTAGGCCGATTCGGCCTTTCTTTCTACAAAGAAAGCGTAAACTCACACTCATTTAATTCGACTGTGGTTTTTGACCTTTCTTCTTGGTGGACTTGAAGATGATTGATCCTTGAGGAAAAAATAAGACTTAAAATCCCCAGTTTATCACTAGAAATACAGAATGGCAATATTATGTATCCTCTTCCTCTGAGTTATGAGAGTACAAAAACATTTAGTCCCTCTAAATGATTCTCACAGAATAGGTTACACAGACCACCCACAGACTTAGCACAAAGTCTCTAAGGAAGCTCTGGTGCTTTAAGATCTTTTATGGTTTAAAGAGTAGCCAGTTGAATGCAGAGTTCGAAATTAGATCTCACAAAATTGGGATACAATGTTCGAAACTTGTTTTTACCGAAGCATTTGACTGCTATGTAAAGAGACCGCAACACCGGAAACCCTTTTGCTGTGGCCTCAATATAGTGTTCAGACCTCTTCAAGCTGTGACTGGGTACAACTCCTAAGTCTTTAAATTTTTGGGCACCAGGTACTGTTGTCCAGTTTATCAGATATTGATGAAAGCTACTATGATCAAAATGCCTGATTTTATACTTGGTAGAGTCAATTTCTAGACATTAGTGCTTGAACTACTTGACTATTTTGTTTAGGTCCGCTTGTTGCGTACATCCGGCGTCATCATTAGGTATTATCTTTCATATTTTCACGTCATCAGCACTGGTGACTGAATCACGTCTGACAATTCGTTGACATGGAACAAGTGGGGGAACCCCCCTTATCACAGGTCGGGACTTAAGTAGTATTCATTTTTTCTCTCTCTTCGTCTCCTATCTTATAAAAATTCTTTAAGTCAGACCTGCGTCGTAGTATCAACCCTAAAATATGAGGGGTACTTTACTAGTCTAACACGTGAAATCCTGTCGGAAGCCTTACTGAAGCAAATAAACAGAGTACCTGCGAGCATCTTGTTGTTACGAGCTGCTGTCGCTTTTTTTCTGGATATGAAGAAGTTAGTCGAACAATACTGAACAGCGTGAAATCTATTTTATAGGCTATATGAGAAGGCTATATCCTTTGGCATGCCTCAGAACCCCATCTCCAACATTCTTCTGGAACACTTTAATGTCTATACTAACAAGGGGGTAATTCGATACTCTTTACCTGCTACTTGTTTTGAAAATGGGCTTATTATAACATCTTTATGGTCTCTCGGAAGCTGAGTGGGCCATAGAGACGTACTGAATAGTTTAGCAAGCAATCTGGAAATAATGTTTGTCAAGAAGGATAATTATCTTGGGTGCAAGCCATCAGGATGCGGGTATTTTGCAGGTTTAAGATTGTTGAGTAACCGAAAGACTACCTCCCCAGTGATATACAGTGGACTAGTTGCTGGGATATTTCCAGGAATCTAGGTCAGTGACAGTATTTTTATCCACGGAGAAGACTGCATTGAGGTCGGAGAGACATTAAGCTTTAGATATCTTAGACTCATCCAACCCTGCTGAATCGTTAGCTGATAGGAGAGATGGGAAGGTATTCGTACGTTTTGTTCTCATTTTAATGAAAGAGAACAACTATTTTAGACAGAAGTGATAATCGTTTTCAATTTACCTTTCATACTCTATTCCAGCGATCGTAATACCTGGTTTACACAACTTTCTAACCTTGCAATATGAAGTCTTAAAGGCCTCACTGCTTGTTTCTAAAGATAAGTTTCATTGTCGCTGTAGATATATTACTGTCCACAGTCCAGTCTAGTGTTATTGAGCACTTACTGATGACCGACGTTTCTGCATGACATGCGTCTCATCTAGGAGAAGCAGAAGTGTAATTCAAGCTGTTCGTACTAAACTTAAAAAGTAATAATACGTAATCACCAATAACCCAGTGTGATAATTAATGAAAGGTCAGTTACTTCCTCGCTTTTGTGTGTTAGAACTAAATCTACGAGTGATGGTTAGTGCTCTGGATCGAAGTGCATTGCACTGATACCGTTTTGAACCAGAGCAACCTCTAGTGTCGACAGAAGTGGGCTGATATTAAAGCAGTTGCTTAAATCTGGAGATGTGAGTCAAACCAAGTTAACGTGATCTTTTTAAGTAATCTACTATCAGGTATCTGTTATGATTACCCCATTCAAGCACGTGGTTCACTAAAAAGACATTTTCTATGCAGTATGGAACCCAGTAGATTGCCCCATTTTCGACTACATCATCAAATGATCTAACATCACGGCTTATTAATTCGCATATGCCATTTTCATGTGATTCTGCGTAGGTTAGCCTGACATTAAGGCCCTTTTTGTGTACAATAGAACTTCTCCACTTTAATGACTTAATAACTTGTCCGTTTTGATGTAGAAGTGCCAAGGGAGATGAGCAGTAAAATCAATCTGTCTTATTAACCAGGTTTCTCAAATGGCAACTACTTCAGTTCTTAATTCGTAGACTAAAACCTCCAGCTACGATGTTTTATTATATAAGCCACGAGAATTAGCATAAAGCACTATTAGGGTGCTTGGGGTGTAATCTTGATTACTTATATATGTTTTGAGAACCGATGTTTCTAAGACTGAGCTATCCGAAAACCCACAATTTTGATTTTATCTTCTCGTTTCTCTTTTCGTGTTCTTAGTTCAGCCACGTCCATCCATTTCATTCAATCCTCGTGAAGCCAATCCGGACGGATATGACTATTTCAGTTATCTGTCTTTAGTGTGTTACACAAGATAATACCCATCTCTTTCTCGTTTCCCAAGACCAGTTTTAATATTCTCTGTTAGATGAGTTTGTCTTCGTCTCATTTATCTGATTTAACCATCTCACAGATGTTCACTCCAATTACTGTTTCTGACAGAATGTACAGATTGGTGCTGTGAACTAAATGTGGGCCATCAGCATGATGGTTGCTGGGGTCTACACTGTTCGACTCTTCGAGGTTTCAAGAGATAACGCAAGCTGTTTGGTTAGGATCCATGGTTGTCGCATTAAAAGCTTCAGAAACGTTTTCAAGTTGCTATGTTACTCTAGCAGTGGAATCAAAGGTACTTAAAGACTTTCTTGAAACTTTCTTCCTGGTTGTTCTAGCAAAATCGCTCGTCGAATTACAATTTTAATTCTCATTGGTGATTTTTGGGTGGTAGGTTATTTGTATCTTCATAACTGCAGTATAGAGTTCCCTTGACGAGCGAGCAGACATATCCAAGCCTTTTGATTCATTCTCATCTTTTTCACTGTCTCCTTTTTTCGCTTGACCAGCTGTATCACAGTCTAAAACTTTAATCAGTGTGACCGAAAAACTATCCCTATTAGATTGGAGTTTCTCTTCAGTCACAAACTCGATCGCTTTCTGGGCAAGCGTAGACATTGGTTTGCAGGAAAAGTTGTACATTCACCTAGGAGTAGGCTTGATGAAAGTGATGGCAGTGCAAATGATATGGCACCAACAGCTGCGGCTGTCATACTTCGTTCACTTGTCCATGGGGCACCAGTATTGTAGTTAACTACAAGCATTTTTATGGTTAGACATGCTGGCCAAGTCAAACACAGATAGTCACTATGAATGGCAATTGAAAAATGTTAGAACAAAAACGTGAAACTTTGAGTAACGATGTGGCAAAAAAAATGGAAAGACAAAAATACTTCTACACGATACAGAAAAAGTTAAACGTTAGGTAAATGAACTCCAAGAACGATAAACCACAGACTTTAACTAAATTGTTTCAAGATAAAGTTTATCCTAAAGGTTTTGATGTGATCTACAAAACAAAAGCCAAAGTTGTCAAGAATTTGAAGACAGCCTTTCCGGTTTTTAAAGCACGCTTATGTTAATCTAGTTTAAACATAGAATACTGTATGCCATAAACATCAGCTTTCAGTCTTCGGTATTAAGGATGGAGGGCTAATCACCTAAATGAAATACTGTCTTCAAGTCCAGTGCCGATAAGAATGATGTTTATACACTCACTCTTGATCGTATTTGAAATTATGAACATTTCACTGGCTTTTTTATTTGTCTTCTTGTCCCATGTACCCACATTTTATTTAATATTTTTATTGTATGCCATATCTTTTTGGAACCTCGCCTGGTTAACTAGTTCACTAGTTACTAGCCGGTCCTAAGCCCGGGTAAAGAGGGAAGGTTGGGCATAGGGCTAGCAACCCTACCCCGCAAAACAAATCTAACCGCTAAAAAAACTTTAAAGCACAAACGAAATATAAAAAATAAAAACAAAATTATTCCTCTCTGTAATCGGAGAGGCGAAATGACGCCAGTTGGTGAAAGCCTTCGGGAAGCCAATTGGCTGATATATCTTCTCTCTCTCTCGATGAAAGCAAAAGTAAACGTGGGGACATGTACTGTCCACATTATGTTTGGACCTACTCGGCAAGGCTCCCCAGACTGCAAAGGAGATGAGAAAGTATCGCATTGAATTGTTAGGAATTTGCGAAAGCCGATAGAAT